AACCTTGTGTCCCTTTATTGGTCGGTTCCGCCAGGCCCCCATTGACCACACGGGACTACCCCAACCCCCCCCCCCCACACACACACACAGGTTTGCCAGCGATATCTCCATGACAGCATGGGTGACTCAATAACTGTCATAACAGTTCTCTATATTTAAAAAGGACAAAAACATTCACCGAAACAGGTAAACAGACAATGTGTGTGAAGGTGACTTTTAAATATTGATTCAAATCCACGTCATTATATATATATAGGGTGTCCGTCTATTACGTAGGCATTTATTATATGTTCATTACCCCCCCCACACACACACACAACATTTGCGCCTGGATACAACCCACTCCCCACCCCCACTCCCTCGTATATTGTCAAAAACCATTGACGTCATTCTTTCCAATGTTGGCACGGTCCTGACGGCATAGTGAAGTCGTTTCAGTAGTGTCGCTTTTCCCCGAAACGCCCCCGAAACGCCCCCAAAAGTACACCAGAGCCATTGGGCCCCGAAATGCTCCCAAAGTACACAAGAGCAATTGGGCCCCGAAAGGCCCCCAAAGTACACCAGAGCCGTTGGGCCCCAAATGCCCCCAAAGTACACCAGAGCCATTTGGCCCCGAAACGCCCCCAAGTACACAAGAGCCATTGGGTCCCGAAACGCCCCCAAAGTACACAAGACCCATTGGGCCCAGAAACGCCACCCAAGTACACAAGAGCCATTGGGCCCAGAAACGCCCCCAAAGTACACAAGAGCCATTGGGACCCGAAACGCCCCCAAAGTATACCAGAGCCATTGTGCCCCGAAACACTTGTTGCTACAGGGACGTAAGATAATGTAGGAGCTGCGAGTTGGGAAGTCTGAAAAAAAATGTATAGAATTTTGTTTTTGTTTTTTGAATTGCATCGAATAGCTAAATTACAAAAAGTGGCAGAGGGCCTCAAAAAGTGGCAAGGAGGCCTTCAAAAGTGGCAGGTCGGGGAAGGGGGTTTCCAAAATTGATAGGAAAGCCTCCAAAAGTAGCAGGGGGCCTCCAAAATTAGTAGGGACCTCCAAAATTTGTAGGAGGGCTTCCAAAAGTGGCAGGAGGGCTTCAAAGTGTGGTAGGGAGGCCTCCAAATCCTACAAAGATGCGCGGGGGCTCTACAAAAGCCTAGCAGCGGCTCTAAGACTACTAACAAAGTCAAAGAAATAACGATGAGCTTGACCACCAGGCCCTTAAAATTCAATGACTAATTGATGGGGATTATTAATTATTTTATAAGCTGTGCCATATGAAAGTCATGTCAACAACAAACAATCAAGACAGAATTTTGTTCTTAGAGTCATGACATTCACTAGAATGAAAATGTTCTATCATTCACTAACTTACAAAAAAATCTGAAATCATAAATTTTATAACAAGGTGTGCCACCCACCCCACCCCAATCCCACCCCCACCCCCCACCCCCCGCCCCAAAAGCATCTTTTGTTTTTTGTTTTTAAGCTTTCCATATCTTTAATTTGGGTAAGTTCTAATGTATAAATATTTATTATCCACCCATTGATACTTCCTCGAAATTCTCTTTATAGACCAGCCAACTGCCAAAGTAGAAATAGATCTTCGTTTCATTCAGCTATTATGCTCTCTTCATGCCACGAACGTCACGTAAAAAAAAGACTAAGTTCATATATTATGGTCTTTTAAATTTTAATAACATTTGTTTACAGAGCACTCAGTTGTGTGGATGAGATCAAAAGCCTCTTTCAAAACACAATGAAGGCTGAATAAAATACAGCAACCTCGGTTGGTTGTGACGGATGTAAGAATGGCTCATAAAACAGAGCCAGAAATCCATGAAGAACTAAAAAGCGAGTTTGGGCCACACAACACAGATGGGCTGACAGATTTCTCATCACGGCGAGTGTCACACGAACTGCTGAAAGAATGGTCTGACATCCATGACGCCGACAGGCTCGTTGTGAGCATATCAAAGCTGAGTAAGAACCTCGGAGAGTTTCTGTCTCGGGATCCGCTACAAGAAGACAGTGTCTGTCTTCTGGTCAAGATACTTGCATGTGCCTCTTCGGCCCGGGAGGAGAAGGCTGATCTACACAACGTTCTCGACGTGGTATGCAAAAGTCGTTTTCTCGTTGATCATTTGAGAATGTTTATTGTGTGCGTGCTGGAGACGATGGGGCCCAGAGATGTTCATAGGTTTATTTGTGAAACAGTCGAAGTATTAAACGCCATTCTCGGCGTGCTCCCCGAACACGCTATGAAATGTGTGCTGAACTCAGCACAGATGTTAACTGTGGCTAAGCACATGGAGACTGTGGTACAAGACAAACACCTGACAGAATCCATGATGGCCGTGGACAAACTCGGTAAGGAGATTTACATGAAGAACAAAGTGTCTGAATGCAGATCACAACTTAAGTGTCTTACCGCTGTGAATCATAACGAAGAACCTCCAGAGTGTTATCGCTCTTTGCCCATCATTCCATCAGTCTCTGAGCTAACCTCAGAAACAAAAACTTTTCTTCGCAAAGCGGTCACAGATGGACCATACAAAGATGCGCAACATTATTTGGACGTGCAGTTTCGGCTGCTGAGGCAAGATTTCTTTTACTATCTTCAACAGGGCATCACACTCATGAGACAAAGCAAAGATCTCAGTGCATTTCACAACCAAGCCCTGAGACTGTTTCACAACGTTAGGGTGGTTGGGATGAGCCTTGAGCACAAATGTAACTATGTTCTTCAACTGAAACAGAACGATACGAAAACAAGAAATGGGAAAAATAAAACGTGCCTTTCTCCTGGATCTATTGTATTTTTATCAAAAGACCGTTTTCAAACCATAATTGTTGCTATTGTGAGTAGCCTAGAGTTTTTGCAAAAAGAAAATATAATTATCGCCATTGACATCAAAGAAGGAATGGATTTTGTTCTAAATTCCACAGCCACTGACGTTTTCACCTTGGCTGAGGCAACCACTCATTTTAGACTTTATTTCAATGTGTTGAAAAGGCTGCATGAAAATGAAACAGGTAAATTACCACTGAAAGACACAATCATTTATTGCGATCACAAGTCTAAACCACCAAAGTATTTGCTCCCATCAAGCGGATTTACCGGGATACCCTATTATAATTTGTCAGCTTTGATGTTAAAAAAGATGAAAAAGTTAAATGTCCCTGTGCTGACCACTGTGAAAAGGCCGCCAACTGAGGAAATCTGTCTGAATGAACTTCAGAGAGAAGCCGTCATGTTAGCATTGATTAACGAGATTTCCGTCATACAAGGACCACCGGGAACAGGAAAGAGTCATGTCGGGAGGAAGATCTTGGATGTCCTTTTGCACAATGAACCTTTCACTACCCTTGACAAAACAGGCACAGAAAGTAAACCGTGCTCAAAAGGACCTATTCTAATTGTGTGTAAGACTCTAAAAGCTCTCAAGAAACTACTCACAGGTTTTCCTTCACACAAAACGGTAACCTGGTTGTCGCATCACTTTGTCTTTGGACAATCCACCGTGGTGTTAGATGACTACGACTCGCCGCTGGAATCATTGGTACGTGAACCATTGTCATTTCAAAATATGAGTCCTTTTTATTCGGTGAGAGCAAAAATTGACCAGCTGAATAAAATAAGGGGCTCGCTGGAGACGGAAATTCAATCAACGGATATTCTAAGACCATACATGCTTGACCATCACTACGCTTCTCTTGCTCGAGCTACTGAATTCACCAATGGTAATCATGCATTAAACTTATGGCTGAACACCCCTGTACATTCTCCGATGATAACTTTTAAGAAACCAATTGAGCAGCGACTAAAGGAGCTTGTGCTGCGATGGAACCGTCCTTCGAATGAAGTTTATTGCCGTCCAAGTATGAATATTGTTGAAAGGGCATCACTCTATTGCTGTCTTGTAAATCTCTACCGACAAAACATTAAAAAGGAGATTAAAAAAATGTCTAATTACGATGAGTCGCTTCCAGTTAAGGTTGAGGATTTAAAATTGAAACTTCAGCAGTCGTACGTTGATTTTATACCAGACTATTTAATTCAAATGATTACCGGTAAATCACACACAATCGATATGAGTGATTGGCTGACTGAATCTAGACGGGACCCGATGGCGCAATTAAAGGACATTGAAACTCTGATTCGTGAGATGGAACTCGAAGATGTCAAAACAGGAAGTTGTCCGGCTTCGGTTGCAGCATTACAAGGACATGTCGGTGATGTAGTCGAAAGCGGTCAAAATGATCCTTTTGCGGATGTTGAGTTTTTCCGCTTCCTAAGTGGTCTTAAAAATTCTTTCGAAAAATACCAAATTATCACAGTCGCAAAACACGCCGAGAAGCTTAAAATTTTAGAAGATATCCCTGGGAAAGTGAGTTGTGGGCCAGCACGTCATGGCAATCTATCTCAGTGTCTGAGTCACGCTGAAACAATCAAACTGCTAGCATTGACTGAGCCACTGGAAGACGAAGAAGAAGAAAACATAGCAGATTTATGGAAGCTGAGAGAAGAAAAGAGATTTGCGTTGTACAAATGCTGGATTGAGAAATACAAGACATCACTGACAGAGGAGATGAAGGACCTCACAGAACAATACAACTCATTGCGTGAAGAAGATCGTAGAGACAAAGGAGAGGTAATTTTGAGGGAGTTAAAAAGTGCTAAGGTAATCGGAACGACTGTAGCTACCGCCGCTGAAAACATGGACCTCCTCAAGGAAGTTGGTTGCCGTGTAGTTATTGTGGCAGAGGCTGAAAAAATTATTGAGTCCCACGTTGTAACTCTTCTGAGCGAAGCCTGCGAGCATTTAATTATGATTGGTGACCACCAACAACTCCATCCCGAAACAATTGTCCCCCAGATAGCCAAAGATTTTGGACTGGAAATGTCATTATTTGAAAGACTCATCAAGAATAATATCCAGCACGTACAGCTCAGAGTCCAATACAACATGAGGCCACAGATAGCTAAGATAATGAAGCTTATCTACCCAGATCTTAAGGACCATGTTTCAGTTTGTAACTTGGATCACGTCCGTGGGATCTGCAAAGATGTCTTCTTCATTGACCACAGGCTGAAGTCATTAAAGATTGACAGTGAAGAAAGTCATTATGACAATACGCATGAAGCTAAATACTTGGCTGCCTTGTGCAAATATCTTCTAAACCAGGATTATAAGCCATCTGATATAACAATACTAGCACAACACGATTGTCAGGTCCATGCCATCAAAACTCAGTTTACCGGATGTCTAAAATCGGATCAGCAAGTTAATGTCTCGTCGGTAGATGAGTTTCAAGGTCAAGACAGTGACATTGTCCTCCTGTCCCTGGCAGTTGGTAACGAAGACGAGGCTCATGACGTCATTCTAGAAGAAGGCTGGATAAGTTTAGCGCTGTCACGGGCTAAGGTCGGTTTGTACGTCATTGGCAACTTTGATGTGTTGGCTTGTCAAAGTCCACTGTGGTCAAAGATAGTAGCCACGGCGGAAAAAGACGAGATCATTGGCTGGGGGCTGCCTGTCTACTGCCAGAATCACCCGAGCACTAAAAAACGCCTTCTCTACGTCACAGACTTCGGACGGTGTCCGGAGGGTGGATGTGGGCGACCATGTGAACATCTGCTACCGTGTGGTCATAGATGTGTGTTGAGCTGTCATGGTTATGACATTACTCACGTCAAGTACAAATGTTCGGAGAGATGTGCTAAGTCATGCAAGGCCGGCCATCCATGTCAACAATATTGTTTTGAGAAGTGCAGGGATTGCCATGTTCCTGTCCTGAAAGTTTTTCCAGTCTGTGGAGATCTCAATGAAATACCATGCTATCAAGATCCTGAGTTGTCCACCTGTGTGCAGGAATGTTCTCATAAACTTCCATGTGAACATACATGTTCGGGGATATGCTGCAAAACTCGATCCGGGAATGTTCACAAGAAATGCGCAGTTCTTGTGTCGTACATATTCTCCCCGTGTGGTCATTATGGCCAGGTGCCTTGTCACAAATGGAACACCCAGGTCCCGTGTGATAAACCATGTGAGGCTGTCCTAAGCTGCGGGCACAAGTGTAAAGGTTCTTGCTCCAGATGCCTACTTGGAGCTGTACACGAAGTGTGCCAGGAAAAATGCCCAAAACGTCTTCCCTGCGGTCATAGATGTATAGGCTACTGCGTCATGCCATGTCTACCTTGTACAAAGATCTGCCCCTTACAGTGTAGTCATAAGTCATGTCAGTCAGAGACGCATCGACACAGATGTGGTCAACCGTGCCCGCCGTGCATGGAGCAATGTGTTACACAATGCAAGCACGTCTCAGGGACAAAGCTTTGCTCGCAGCAATGGAAAACCCGTCTCTGTAACAAGAAGTGCAACCGAAAATTTGAAAATGTTGAGAAAGATCCGGAAGCTTCTGGCAAGAATATTTGTAATCATAACTGTGCCGGGATCTGTGGGGAGCTGTGCGTGTGTTTACACTGTGATCGGGTCAATGACCTAAAGAAAGTCGGAAATAATCCGAAGAAGACGTTAGACGAAGGACTCGTTTCAAAGATTTTGGACAACCTCGAGGAAAAAGTCATTTTTAAAATTCCTTCATGCGGGCACATCTTCTATGTGGAACAGCTTGATGCATTTATCGCCGACAATGCCCCGGTGGGCACAAGTTTCATATTTTGTCCAGTTTGTCCAAAGCCCATCATGCAATGCAAGCGCTATGACAACGTCTTAAACGCAAGACACAAAAGAAGAGAGGACCAGAAAGCCTTGCTCTTAAGTCCGACAAGCGTGTTAGAGGACGAGACACTTAAGCTTGAGGAGTCCTATGAAATTTTGAAAATGATGTCATCAACCGTTTATGAAAGACTTGCCATTTATGCATCTCATAGTTATAATACAATTGAACTGCAAGCGATGTCTTTTAAAATGAAAATCGTGTTTGTGCTGGGTCAGATTTTAACGTTGGGCATCAGCCTGCATGATGAAGTCGAAATGGACTTGCTGGCCATCAAAGACTCTGCTCTTAGATCTCATGACCATCTAACATCCCAGCGCAAGATGGAGAGTCTCTTCGAAGTTCTGCGATGTCTGAAACTAACAGTTCTCATTTTCTTGGAGGATATCAACTTCCAGTATGACATCCACGCACCGAGGAGTCTAACCTGGCAGGTGGAGTCCATGATCAATCTACTCCGCGGCTCTCAAAGAAATCCCGAAAACCTTTCAAAAGCCGATTCAGTGATCATGTCCATTAGTCAAATAATTGGTGAATCATCACCTGTCGCCCAGGCCGCCTGCTGCCCAATCATCAAGAAGTACAAGGAACTCATAGGCGTACTGCTGTCCAGTGATTCAATGGTGAGATGTTTCTTTGTTTTGTTTTGTTGGTTTTTTTTACACAGTTTTCCGTTTAGAGTTACACTTTTATATAAGCACTTATTGATTGAAATATTGATTTAACAATCATGTTAATAGACCACCCGCTAACCCTCACCCACCACCCTTACCACTCCCACCCACCCCCAACCCCGGCCAAAAAAAAAAGTATTAAATTTGTAAAGATTATATTTTAAATACAAATAATTAATGTGTGGTCTTTTTTAAAACAATTATAAAGGGCGAAAGCTGTTTGTTTTTGTTTGTTGTAAGACTAGTAGTTTTATTTTATTCTGTTAAGATACATTTTAGCGTCATGTAATGTGATAGACACAATCAACCGTTGAAATGATTTTCGATGAAACAAAAAGTACATCTTGTCTTATGTTATGAATAACCTTCAACTTCCTGTGTTTACACAATGGTCCTGTTTCACGTGAAGATGTTGTGTGACCTGGTTCATCCTGATACGATTCAAACGATCAGAGATCTGACTTCAATGTCGGACAAAGACGCAGACCTTGAACAGGAATCAGTTGCTGACCCACACTTTTCGGGCGGTCATCCAGATATACACCAGCAGCCTCTAGCTAACCATCGAATTCCGAACCCACAAACTAATGGCCTATGTGTCTCCCCATCGACCTGTACTCCTACACGGCAGACGTCTGATAAAAATCATAGGTAATTATTCCCCCCACCCCAACCATCTAAATGTCAGTATGTTAGTAGAAACGCATTATACTTTTAAATGGACACGGTTAAGATTTTTTTGGGTTATTTTTTTCGGTGCTATTTTCATAAATCATGATTTAATCTTAAGCTTATGACACTCCAACCAACGTATAAATCCAATGTAATAAATATATAACTTGAAAAAAATTCATAAAAGTCTTAATGATAAAAATTTTTTTATCAGCTATGCTGCAAATGGATTGGAGATGGTTATTTATATATAACAATAATTCCCCAAGTGGATATCGTCCGCCCAGCTCTCATTGCGCACCATGATGCGCTCTCATTCGCTGCTTCCCCCATCGTGCGTTTGATCACACGCACCGCGACTGGCCCACGCGTTTAGGCAAGGGGCCCTTCACTGATTCTCAATATATGCCCGTTTTAAAACTAGAATGGCATGGCACACGTAAATACCTTACTACAATGGCACCAATCATCGTCAATACCCAACAAAAACAGCATCAATACTCATTGCTACCCCCATTCTATTTAGAGTCAATACATCTAAGCATTGATGGATATGGAGCGCCATCTGGAATTATTATTATAGATAATGTTCCTTCCCCCATATTTTACACGTGCTACAACGTGGTTGAGTTGTTCCAGCTAGTTTGCCAATATTTGTTACATCAGTGAACTGGTAATGCTTGTTAAATTTATAAACTGTAAATGGTTATATATATGAATGCTATATCTAAAGTTATGACGCTTTGAATTGTTATTGGTTGTGTCATCTTAAACTTCAAAAGGTTGTCATGGAAGTATTATATTGTTATCTGACAAGAAATTAGCTAAAATATTATTTTAATATTTAAAAAAAAAAACGTTCAATTAGTAGTAGCACGTCTAAATAAAATTGTGTTTTTTTAAAAAAAAAAAAAAAAAAAAACCTTCAATTAGTATTACTTCTAAATAAAAAATATATATTTAAAATAAGAAGAAAAAAAACAGGTCCAGAATGTTATCTTTACTTAATGAAGTGTTGAAAGGAATTTTTGACATTTTTAATGAAAATATTCGCGTATTCCGCATATATATATATATATATATATATATATATATTTATAACTCGTGGTCATATTTCTTTTGTGATATGTGTGATTCACACAATTTAATTAAAAACATATCTCATAACTTTGAGCAGTTTAAATAGTTGTTAATCCTATCAACATTAAAAGTGGCGCTTAACCCCATGTAGGGCCCTGGCCTGCTGCTCCATCACATCCTTCCATTCATTGACCGATCCAATGATTTTCTTCTCTACGCTCGGACCCCCAGCTGATGTTATTCGGTGCACACATCATTAACCCACCTCAATCCTGGTTGACCGGTGAGTCGTCTGCCCCTGTATGACACTTTTAGATTCCTCTCGCCGCTCTACACTCCGGCATCCCCACCCCAAAGGTGTCCTGTCCAGCGTACCCTGCCTTTTCAAAAAGTGCCACAACTATGGGTGGGTCTTCGAACAATTGATACATCTGTTGGCCAGGATGTTATCCTTTCCTTTAGATGGACCTCATTTATGGTATTTGTATGTATCCACTATAACAATGCAGTGGTGTTGTCATTTGTGTGTCTGTTACGTGACATTATCATGTAGATTGACATTGATGTAATTGATTATGCAAGAGTACAATTGAATATATTCCTCTAAACATTTAAGGATTAAATAACTTTTAAAAATTATACGTCAATTAGAATTTTTTTAAAAAGGAAACAGGATATATATTTACAATGCTAATTGCTGGAGAGACTGCTCTTCATTTATTTATGGTGTTATAATTAGGAATTTGTTTTGTTTGTTGTTATTTTTTATATATATATTTTTTTAATGCTCTCAACGAAAAACTCACAAAATGCAAACTGGTGTTTCAAGTGATTTTTGAAAAAAAAATATTTTATCATTTCCCAAGTGTATTATTGTATTCAATGCCATTCCTCTTTCTGTCAATTCTCAATTATGATTAATGACAATTACGGTCATACCAATGACTTTTTTTTTTTTTTAATTGAATATTTACTATAATTTCCTTGTTCGTATTTTGTGAGAAAAAAAATAAAAAATTCAATTATTAAAAAAATTCATTACAAATTAAAATTTGATTAATGATATTTTTCTCAATAATACTTTTTTTTTTTAATACATTTTTTTTAAAACTACTTTGTATTATTTATTTTTTGTATTCAACATTCTCTTTATGTTTTCCACAGCAGACTAGACTCTATACTCCAATTCCTACATTTGATTGCCTAACATTATTAAAAAATAATTTGTTTTTAAATATTACTTCAAACTATATTTTTCAAGATATTTTTTATATTTTTTATATTAAAAATTGCCTTGTATATATTTTTTTTTATTTCTTATGTTTTTATTTCCAACACCACTCGTCATGGAAAAATGAGTACAACAATAATGCAATACTATTTTCAAAGCCTCTTCATTAATATATATATATATATATATATATAAAAAAAAAAAAAAAAATGAGATAAAAAAAAATGTTTTTATTCAACATTTTATGTCCTGCATCAGAACCTTATTTTTAAAAAAAATATTTTAATTTTATTTTTAATAAGCTTTTGTGACGCATGACAAAAAAAATGTTCAGGGTCGCTAAAAAATTCTATCTGAAATTTAATGTTGTGTGCGATAACAAAATTTAACAGCAAAACAATGTCAAATGCCTTAACGACAACTGCAAATTACCCAAAAAAAATTTTTTTAAAACATTTTTACTTTTCAGAGACAAGTTTAAACGCACTTATAGTCTTTCAAACACAAGTTTAAACACACTGAGTAGCAGAAAATAATTTTCTTACACAGCTGATGCACCAAAATTTTTGTACTATCATTGCTCACGTGAAATTTTTACAATTCATGAAATTTATTATGCAATGCAAGTCTGAGGAGAATGGTAGCAGAGCACTATATGAAGCCAAAGTGGGGACAATGGTAGAAGAGCACTCTGTGAAGCCAAACGATTCCATTGCCATGTAGAAAAAAAAACAACTTATATATGCTTTATATTTTATAAGAAAAATTTGATTTAAAATGTATACAAATATATTATATTATACGTATATTATTTTATACAAAATACTGTTGCCGACCACCGGGTAGGCCATAGCTAAAAATACATTGGTACATAAAGGATAATTTATATTCAACAAATTTCCATACTGTTATAACATCAGTTTTAAAGGATTTAAATGAGTAAGGCAGAAAATTATATTCAACAGGGGTTCCAGGCTGAGCTATCTTTAATAATAATTCCCATGCCCATTGGATCTTGTTCCCCCTTCCAACCCCTATTCCCCCTCCTCCCACTCACAAAGTGAGGTGAGGAGTAAAACATTTGTAAAAGTGGTTGAATTTTATTAAATCATTTTGAATTTTGAATCAGTTAAAAAAAAACCCTAATAGTTTAAGAACTGGAACAGTGACTTGTAGTTGATCTACATTTCGTTCGCTTGCTGACTTAGGCCTTTTAAGTTGCTCTTACTGGACTGGTATTATTGACATAAGGTATTGATTTAGTATGCTTATTGGAAGGGTTTTGAACAGTCACGGTGCATTCACGGGTAGAATGGTAAATTAATTTCCTAAATATATTGATTTCGTACGCTCATTGTTAGGCTCAATGACAACTTAAACTCCTTCGAAAACAGTCTCAGTACCCGACACTACCAACACTATATAGGAGTCAACACATCTAAGCAGTGGTGGATATGTATCGAACGCCATCTGGAACAATTATTATAAATTGTGCACCACATCCCGTATTTTACATTGTCATTTGCAACGTGGATGCGTAGCCCCAGATAGTAATTATAAAAGCTTCCTCGAAATTCGGCTACTTTTCTCGTGCTCAGCTGCCTTAGAGTTGGATATGGAATATTTAAGATTCGTTTATCTCAAAATAGATGGGTATAGACTATTTAAGTCTATAGACCAGACTATTAAAAAATAAATTAATTTACTAGGATGACTCCCAATTAAACAGAGTCATGTAATTATTACTCTGTAGCATGGGCGCCCGCAGGGGGGGGGCAAGGAGGGGCACTTGCCCCCCTGGATTGATTGGATAAAAAAATTTTAGACAAAAATAGACACAAAATTTATTAAAGTAAAGAGAAAATAACGATAAAGTAACCAAGCTGATGTCCTGTCCGTTCGTTCACCATACAAATACGCTACAGTAAATTAAAACTACATTAAAAGATTACTAAAAATTTTTTGCCCCACCCCCCGGAAAGTTATCGAATTTTTTGCCCCCCCCCCCCCCAGAAAGTTTTCTGCGGGCGCCCATGTTCTGTATATTATATAATCGTACAATATCTCTTTTTACTAATGACTCCTGCGAGAGACGACGTGAACCAGAAAGGGGGATAACACCGGTATAAATTTGCAAATCAAAATTAAGGGGTTACATAAATAAATGACAAGAAATTAAAAGATTTTGGGAGCTACCTGTCGGGCTATTACAAAAGCATGAAAATAAGTTTTAAAATAGCTTTGTCGAGTACCTAAAATGATTTATGTTTTAAAAAGAAGCTATTGATTTTTGTGAAATTTTCTTATAAGGCCTTAAATATCTTCAGGGGAGGAGGAGGAAGAGGAACGATGAGAGCAGCTCAAGCTCCGGGCAAAAAAACAAAAAAAAAAAAAAAAAAATAAAAAAAAAAAAAAAAAAAAAAAAAAAAAAAAAAAAAAAAAAAAAAAAAAAAAAAAAAAAAACACCTGCCGCAGAGCTGGGGATTTCGCTCCACAAGGCTAACACCTATTAAATGTACACCCTTTTAACCAATTGACTACTGGGATTTTGACTTTTAATTTGACAACAAAAATTAATTAAATTTGGCTTTCGTTAAAAAGTAAATAATGTAATGAATGAGTAGCAAAAGGTAGGAGTTAATAAATTTTTACAATATCTTTTCTTTCGATACTTAACACTTTATCATAGTCATTCACATGTTTTGCCATTATAATATTTTAATTAAGTTTCTTAATGTCATCTTCTATTGAATGTCGTTTTTCATTATGCACAGTGAGTGAATTATATGTATCAGTGATTACCCGTATAAATTCGTTAATTAGAGGAAAATAAGGCCTAAATATTTTTTTAAAATTTTGGAAAGCATTTCCATGACAGTTGTATACTTGTATACTAACAAAACCTTCTTATTAAAAATTATACCATCTCAGTGAAATTAACCACGGGAGCGTCTCAATAGCACATAAAATGAGTTCTTAACTTATCAATGTGAGTGTACGGAGCTACGGAGCTCGATTTCTAGTCGTCCATGAAATGATTATGTAGTACGGAGTGTCTGACTTAAAAAGTACAACTTAAAATGGCTACTGCCGACTGGAACCCCCTGGGTGAAGTATATTACAGGTCGATATATAATTAACAAACTCATTGCTCGGACAAATTATCTGATTGAGGAATAGAAAAAAAGTTAAAAATTGAATAAATATTATTTAAAACATTTTTTTGGATGGAAAATATACTTAGTTTACAAAATACAAAAGGAAAAAGGCGACGCCCACTTTTAATTTAATTTTAATATAAAATAAAAAATATGCCTAGTCTGTGCCATGGATTGTCTTGCATGCACCATCACTTACTAGTTAGGGTTAGCCCAGGGCCCTAGCATTACTTTCATAATTAATTGTTGCAGTTGACTTGACTTAAATGAGCCTCAGTGTTGATGTGTATAGTACCGGTATATTATTCAATATTGTAGACATAGTACTAGTACTAGTACAACTACGACTACAGTAGATTACAGTTACAGTGTCTACAATTTGTAATACTTTACTACTACTAGTATTAATACTACCAGGAGATAGTAATATTTTTTGGATATAACCATGGCACATGGAATGGCTCAATGAATCATTTTTTTCTCATTAGACATAAGATATTTAACTTCTGTTTTTAAAAATTAAAAACTAAATCTTCCTACATTTAAAAATGTTAAATACGGGTTGGCACAGAATATAGGAAAATTCTGCAACCCCCCCCCCCCCCTCTTCAATAAATTTGATCAATTTTTAAGGATACCATTTATCACGATTATAACGTTTTTGCAAGGTTTCACTGGATGTAGAATATTTGTTTACAGAAAGATATTTAACTTTTGTTTTTAAAAATTAAAAACTAAATCTTCCTACATTTAAAAATGTTAAATACGGGTTGGCACAAAAAATAGGAAAATTCTGCAACCCCCCCCCCCCCTCTTCAATAAATTTGATCAATTTTTAAGGATACCATTTATCACGATTATAACGTTTTTGCAAGGTTTCACTGGATGTAGAATATTTGTTTACAGAAAATGTGACTTCTATACCATGGAATGGGCTGGAGTGGTGGACATATCCAAACACATTGTTGCAGTATCAACATACGGTGGCCCCATAGGTAGACGTTGTCTGTTTGACTTATAATCCTTTTTCGGAAATAAAGTTGTTGTTAGCTTGAATTGATTTGTGTAGGATAATTTCTTTGAAATAAACTGTTATTAATTATTCCTGTTATTCATTATAAATGATGATGTTTGTTTGCAGCCCTTATGAAAGATGAGAGTAAGACAGGAAGGGTGGTCACAAACTTAAAGCCAGTTATAGGAATATACACTGCTGCTGGGAAAGTGCAGAGTCAAATCAGGGTACAGTAATGTTAATTTTAAAAAAAATTTAAACAAACGTTTTTCTCTGATTTTAAAAAAGTCAAATTAATCAAATTTTGTTTAGACACATGAAAATCCACTGAAAGTGACATCATGCTGAAAATTTATGAACTTTCTTCTTAAACGTCAATGCTAATAGTCTTAAGATAAAGTATATGAAGACTTAATTTAAGATAAGACAAGATTTTCCTTTATTGATACAAATTGTAACAGACCATGTTTGCACACGAAACCATTGAGTCAGAGAGGTGGCATAATTTGAATATTGAACTATGCTGACGTATATTTTTCACGGGGAAAGAGAGTAAATTATGTTTTTGAAAAGCGGAATTGAGCCACACGCTTTGTTGAGTGATCAGGGGCAGTACATCGAATGTCGTAGTTAAGTGAGGACGTGGTTGTTTTACTGAGAGGTGAATTTTCTATACCATGGAATATTATAGATATATACATATGTGAAATAATTGCATTGTGGATGTTATTAACTGGATATTTATGCAAGGATTCTTCTTAATATTATTATTGTAAAAGATAACGTTATAAAGTACTGTGAGTTTAATTGGAAATTAATATACTTCTTTGTGTGACAGGCTAAGTGAGTGAAGGAATGGAAGAAGTATTACTCTACTCAAGCCGGCATCCTGAATCATCAATATAAAAGCAGTTAACCATGCTACTGACACAACACCCTAATAAATAGCATGTCAGAGCCATGTGTTACACAAATATTTTGACATTTTATGTGATTACGCTTTACTGGTTCATTGAGTAAAAAACATACAGTAGCAACAATCTGATTTAGCTTAACAGCTTTAAAATTAATTTATTTTATAAAAGAAAATTGTAATATAATATTTTGAAAACACACCAAAAAAAAAAAAAAGCCCACGCAATTACTGATACTTTACAAAAGTTTTTTAAATTTTAGAATTAAAAGTTATATCTATATCATCTATCTATCTATCTATATTATATTTGTGAACTATAACAGTCAGACAAATGATGTTAATTTTTCTTATCTGTGTTTCTAACAGTGGAACAGTGGCAATGTGGTGACTATTGGTTGGTCCAGTACTGAAGAGCTGCTGTGCATACAAGAGGATGGAGTCGTGCTTGTCTATGATATGTTCCTTACATTCCAACGCACATTTGGGATGGGACAGGTAACACTTATATTATGTGCTCTTTTTTAAATTTGATATTTAAAATGTTCCACCCTAAAAAAAAAAAGACCCTTTTCTTTTTCTCCATAGAAAAGTCACCCCCTCTTTGTCCTCCCAATGAAGTCACTCTTTCTTTGTAGTCCTATAAAAGTCAACCTTTGTATGTTGTCCCAGAAAATTCACCCTTTCTCTGTCTTCATTCAAAAAACCTGAAATATTTAGATTAAAAGTAGTCTAACTTTTTATTTTATTATTTTTTATTTATATTTTGCTTTAAGAAATTTTTTTCATTGTTGACATAATGTTTAAAATACTGGTCATAACTTTTGCTCTAAAGGGGGTATTCAATGGTGCCTTGTGTCTGGCTTACATTTTGTGATGGACTCAATGTTTAGATCAGTCCTCTCCATTTAGTGTGTCCATCTTAGTGTCAGATTGATCCACCCCTTCTCTTTGTGTTTGCAGGAGGCCAAAGATGTCAAGATCCTTTCTGCAAAAATATTCCCCACAGTTCAAGGTTCAGGAATCGCTGTGATGACAACTTCCTTCAGAATTTTTCTGATCAGTAATGTTGACAGTCCAAGAATAGTACGGCTTGCAGAAGTCCCAGGTAACTGCTGTCTTGCCATTGAAGTTATTTAAAATCTGCACATTCAAAAGTAACTAAGTGTTTTCAGATTGTTAACCCCTTTTGAAGAGTTGCTTCTTGCTATTTAGTTATTCCAAATACACCAATTAAACCCATATTTTTGTTGTCAGCCGACGTTAAAGGAAATCACTTTTTATGAAATTCTAAGATGAGACTGGAATAATCAGCTCAGGATTATTCTCACATCAGAACCTGTTTCATTGAGAATGTCTCAATAACTTAAGGATTGGTCAGTAACTTCTTTTTTTTTTGGTACACACTTAGATGATTTTAAAAATACACTGTGCAACTTTGTTAAAGAGGATGTTACTTTTTTAGGGCTCAACGAAGCTCCCAGCTGTTGGGCCATTGTTGTTACAGATCGCCAGGTCAGGGCACTGGTCGCCAAGGGGGAAGAGCTCTTTCTTGTTGACCAAGGAGGACAGTACCAGCAACAGGTAGGTACTAATTAATTAATTGAAGAAACTACCAAACGGGAGGGAATCTGGTTAACTCAAAGTAGGTTAAACTAGATCTTTAGTTTTCAAAGTATTATTTCTTGACATTATAAACAGAGTTTGCAAAAAAAAAAATCCTGGTGAATTATATCAAATTTTGTCGTCCTTAAACACAAGTTTGCTCTGCTTATCTCTTGCATTGCAATTAGGGCTACTGAAAAATGGTTAATGAATTCCAAAATAGAAAAGAAAAACATGACAAAATATTGACTTGCATTTTTGTTTTCCTTTTTTTTTTTTTTTGCTGGTCTGATAAGTCCATGTTTTTTTTTTTACATTTAATTTTTTTTTATTTTTAGAGGAAAGAAATAAAAATAGAAAAAAATAAAAAAGCTTTTGCTCAACAAAAGTCTATTACATACATTTTTTATGGTTAATGAATTCCAAAATAGAAAAGAAAAACATGACAAAATATTGACTTGCATTTTTGTTTTCCTTTTTTTTTTTTTTTGCTGGTCTGATAAGTCCATGTTTTTTTTTTTACATTTAATTTATTTTTATATTTAGAGGAAAGAAATAAAAATAGAAAAAAATAAAAAAGCTTTTGCTCAACAAAAGTCTATTACATACATTTTTTTTTTACTGCTGTTTCTTATAAAATTTAATTTTTTGACATTTGTCACAGTTTATCACTTTTTAGAATGTTTTTTAAATGGATTCATCACTGGTTTCTCTCCTACACAATATGTGTAGGACCTCCAACCAAAAAACTTGTTATACAAATACAAGCTATTTTGAGACTTGTGATAGGCCTGATATTAACGGACACAAAATAAAAGATCTAAAATTATATAACAAAGAAAAAGATTTTAAAATACTTATACAACTTATACATGTAGTTACCATAGATTTACTCTACTCTTCATTATTCACAAAATTTGAAATCCCCTAAATTTTTCAGCAACCCGATTTAGATGAAAATTCAGGTCCAATCACTCTGATGGCGGTATCATTCAATAGCAAGTACATGGCCCTTTTCACACAGCAAGGCTTCATCTGGATTGGCACGGCAGATTTACAGGTAAGTAAAATAAAAATATGAAAAAATGAAAGGGTGTGACCTAAAATTGGAAATAACATTCAGTGGGAAATAGCCAATTGTTGATTGGAGCTTAATGTATCCATTCATTTTTATACAAGAAATGTTGTTGAGGGTAAGGGGGGGGGGTGGTGTAAGGTGTTTTTTCTTTTAAAAAAAATATAAAAGTCTGACTTATTCATATGTAGACATTACAAGTCATTTTTATTTAAATTTGTTTAAAAATATGCGTACAATCAAATCTTTAAACTAAAAGCCTGACCTATTCAAAAGTTTATGTAACTCTTACCAGTCATTACTAAACCGATTTGTGAGCTTGAATATTTCCACTCTTGCAGAAGAAGTACTGTGAGTTCAACACCAAGTCAACTAAACTGCCTGACCAACTTGTTTGGTGAGCAGCCTTCTGTTTGTCAGGCAAATATTTACCAACATGGAAATCTTTGTTTAATTGTTGGAGGATAGTTTAAATAAAATTTGTCGTACTGGGAATATTAGGACTTGTAAGTGCAGGCACAGAACCACTGGTAAATATTTTTTCGTACACTTTTTCAGGTGTGGGAATGGAGCTGTTGTTGGACTGTGGGACAAACTGCTGCTTGTCATTGGTCCTGATAAAGACTGGATCAGGTAACTAAGATCATGTGGTCTTTTATTTTGTATGGCCGTCATAAGGAAAGTTGGTAGAGTTAACGGACATGCTACATTTCATGAACTTTTGTGGAAGAAAATCAAAACAACCACAGATTTGATATCAGTAAAAAGCTCTTTGTTATTCCATCAAATTATTCTACATTATATTTTTTTTGCATTAGTTAATGTACGCAATTGTTGCATAATATACTAGAAATCTACACATAGATTTGTCCTTTTACCTGCTGTTATTTGGATCTATGCTATGTCATGAAAAGAATGACATAAATTATTGTTGGCTGCTGGAGATCGTCAACTTGAAAAGACTTTGGGTAAAATTGCTCTAATCATACATTTATTGTAAAGAAGTAAATACAATGTTCATATTGAATGTTTCACAATTTATGTGAAATAACATGTGAAACAGCATAATGGTAAACTCCTAAGTCTCATATTGAAATGGCTTCTTTGACAGATATAACATGGATACGCCTGTGCATTTAGTGCAAGAAGAAGATGGGCTCCGCATTATTGGAAATGAGACACATGAGTTCTTGCAAAAGGTGCCCAGTAAGTGGAATTTATTAATTGAAAATATCACTATAGCAATAAGTGGAATTTATTAATTTATTAAAATTAACTTATTGTCCAGTAAGTGAACTTAATTTTTTTTAAAACACTCTTTGGATAAAGTGTTTCACCCATCACAATCCGATCAGTGCATAATGTCAGCTTTCTGAGATAAAAGAAAAACACTTTACAGAGACAAAAGTGTTTTTTTTTAAAATGTTATCCAGCGATGTACAATTACAAACTATACACTGTAGTGTTTTCCTTTTGAACTTGCCAGCTTAAATCTGATTAAGCTTGTAGCTTGCAGTTGGTGTGGTGGGGAAACTTATTTCCTGCTGCATATGACAGACAGGATTGGATTCCTGGCCCATTCAACTTATTTTCCCCTTATTTTTTGTTTTTCTGTTTGAGTTTTTGTATTTTTCTCTTAAAAGCTATTTAATTTTACAGACGGTTCTATCTTGCTTATATTATTTAATGTGACTTATTTTTGTCACACCTCAGCAATGACAGAAGACATTTTCAAAATCGGCTCCTTAAAGCCAGGTGCAATATTGTATGAGGCCAGTAAGGAGTTTCAGGTATGTCCATTCGTTCTATAAGGTTAAACAAAAACAAAAAACTATTGAGATATTCTTAAACAGTATGCATTCTTTCTCCATAAAGAATACTCATGTGTTACACATTAAAACAATCCTTTTTTTTTCGAGACTATACATTTTTCCCAACAGTGAGAACAAAACAACTTATCTGGACAAGCTTGATCTAGCATGCTGTTTGAATACCTTATTTTACGGACTATGAGACGCTACAGACTATAAGATGCAACTTAATTTTTAAGCAATTTTTTTCAAAAATAAAGTTTTTACCATTTTTATTATTAGATTGCAAAGCCAGACTAAAAAAAATTCTTAGTTTATAAAACGTAACTGACCTTTAAAATCCCTGAAAATCATCATCTGAACTTTTGTACTGTTACCGATAAAACAAATCACTTTGAATTAAAGTTCACTGGCACTGTAGACTGGAATGACTGATCATAGGCTAGACAGTGTTCTGGGTTTGTGATGGCGAGGCGGGAGGGAGACAGTGTTAGCAAGCTTGTGAATCCCAGCAACTCATGCTCATCGCACTGGTGCACTGCTGCTGCCAGTTGAATCCAATGTTGCCTGATACACGTCAAATACATTGCCATTTTTAAGACTGGTAAAAAAAAAAAGTATGTCTTATAGTCCGTAAAATACGGTATATATTCACTCTGCAAAAATATGTGCACAGTAACAAACAAAAAAAAAAAAACAACAAAAAAACTCAATGTTTAGATTTTTAGATACATTTTTAAGACTTGTAAAAAAAAAAAGTATGTCTTATAGTCCGTAAAATACGGTATATATTCACTCTGCAAAAATATGTGCACAGTAACAAACAAAAAAAAAAAAACAACAAAAAAACTCAATGTTTAGATTTTTAGATGAGGAAGAAAATTGATCTGACGTTTGAGCTGTGAAAGGAAATGTTTGGTATCTCTGTGTACATATGTGCGGTTGCTCCTTTACACAAATCTTTTTGTTTTGCGCAAGTTTCCAGACCGTTATTTGTTTTAGGATGCGTTTAATTTCAAGCTGCGAGTGTCCTTTTACTTTAAAAGTTACTAACACTATAAGTTTAATAGCATTGTGTGGTAACACCTTCTTACCCCATCAACAAAGTAACCCTCGTCTTATTGCTCTTTTGATTTTTGTTGCACTGTCTCAGAACGGCAATCAGAAAGCTGATGAGTACATCCGCATGATCAAGGAGAAGCTTGATGAGGCGGTCAACCAATGCATCCTGGCCGCTGGTCATGAGATTGAGCCATCCAAACAGAGAATGTTGCTTCGTGTAAGTCTGACAAATGTATTTGGTCATAAAAGTTTCAAGAGTCGAAGGAAGTTATACTATCAGAAATTTTACAAGTGAAATCTTTTAAATGTTAATTGATTCCACCAAGGTAGTCAAGCAAAGTCAAATTCAATAATCTCATAAGAGATATTTGATTTTTTTAAAATTTGAAGGATACTAATGCACGTAAAGTGTGCTTTAATCACATCTGTATAAATCTATATTAAAGTGGTAAAAAAGCCCAACCTAACGGTAAATTTGTAGAAAATAACACTGTATCAAAATTTCTAATATTATCTTTGTGAATGTAGGTCTATTAATCAAAGTAGTGAAAAGATCTATAGGTTTTCCATTGTCTCAGCCTCATTTGGAAAATAAAAATTGTATTTATTTTATTTGACACATTTTACTTGAAATACTTTACAGAACCAAGGGTGGATTTGTTCTTTGTTCAAGATTTCAAGGCTGTGTCTAATGTTTGTCAGTATTTGTTATTAATTTTGACAAGAGTTCACTCTGGTGTCTAACAGATGTTATTTCCTCTGCAGGCTGCGTCATTTGGGAAATGTTTCCTCACAGACTACAGGCCCGAGGCTTTTGTCAACATGTGTCAGATGCTGCGGGTGTTGAACCAAGTACGGCATCACACCGTGGCCATTCCCTTAACATATACACAGTATCCTTTCACAAGAGATGCTGAAACTGTTCTAGTTCAACACCCTGGGGGTGTTATTTGACGGGAAGAGACACACACTCACAAAAACAAAAAACAGGGATCGTATTTATGTGATGTTTAAGACTCCTTTAAACATCCGTGATTGCCTCAATCTATGTTAACCTGGTAAATAGAAGTCACTCAGATTCATTGACTTGTAGGAAATTTGTGCTCTGGAAATCAAAGGTAAAAATGTACATGAATTGGAACAAAATGCTATTATAATGAGTTGTGTCCCCTGAGGTTAATTTAAAACATGGCCTAGATCTGTAACTTGACATTTTGTCATTTTCATTTATTTCACAAATTCATTATCAAAGGGGATCAGAATAGCTTTTGGCTTGTTTTTTGTGGTTGACTTTTGCGCAAATTTGTACAGTTAATAAATTTAAGGCACCAAACCATAGACAATATCGGAGCAGCTCATCACCATGCTGACAAACACACACCACACAATGTTTCTCAATAGTATCTAATTATTGTGTTAGTCAATCTAAAAGTGCTATTAAATCTGACATTTTTCCATGGAATTGGCTATTCGGACCCGGGTTCTGCGAAATGAGAGGTTGGGATTAAAATTTAAAGTAAAATATTATTGTTAGGTTGTAAGGAATGGACTTTATGTTTTTAAACTTATTGCTTCAGTTTAACTAAAATAAACCCTACAATAATTTGTAAAAAATTTTTAATAAACCCAAACTCTTAACGGGTCCGAATAGCCGCATCCTTTTTCCATACTTTTGATTGATCTCTGTTTTTAAAATATGTATGTAGGTTAAACTTCAAGTTCTTTCCTTAAGTACATTTAGACTGGAGCACCTGTCCATGCCTGTTCTGATTGACAGGCTGGTATTGCGCAAGTTATTTGGGCTGGCAGTGAAAATTTGCCAGTACCTGAAGGTACCAGATAATGAAGGCAGGAGTCGAATCATGGCCCACTGGGCCTCATTTAAGGTAGGATGGGACGACAAAGGAATGTGAACAAATCACTTTTGTACAGATTCCATATCTTTATTCTCTAGCACTCCATATCATGACTTTACTCTTTAGCGATGTGTACCGTAATTTTACTCTCTAGCACTGTATCATCCTGGGCTATATCTGGCCAAAATAGCCAAGTTAATAAAGTTAATTTATGGAATATGCATTTGAGCATTAAAAGAAAAAAAACATGAACTGCTGCTCCATCTAAATCCAAAATGTCAGTGAGATAAACACCATTGATGTTACGGTACTGGAACCAAGCCACAATGATTAAATTATAATAAAGCTAATAGGGAGCCATTTTTTTTTAAAAATCATTTCAAAAGATGTTTTTGATTCTGTATCACAATATTCTATCACCTTTAAGATGTAATTTTAAAATTCCAAACAAACAAAACTTTATTAAAAAGTTAATTTCCATCGATAACAGCACGCAACTAATTTTGAGCAGTTGTCATCTGTGAGCTAAATTTATAATTAAAACAATTTCTGAAAATGTATTAAGCATTTTATTTTAAACAGATTTGGTTGTCATTTAAGATTGTAAATAAAGGGAGACCATTCCTCTTGTTGTGAATTTCCCTTGTTGGCGGTTGGTCAATTCTATAGATAAATTGAACAGGTCCAGCAGCGTGAAGATGAGGAGAAACTTGCCAGAGCCATTTCTCAAAAACTATTGGATGTTCCGGGCGTGTCCTTCTCAGAGATTGCAGGTGTGGCACTGAAGCAGGGCAAAAAACAGCTGGCGATCAAGGTGAGATCAGCTTGAAAGGCCTTAGAAGTTAGGTCACAATTTGAAGCGTTTCATCATTTTACAAGTATTTTAATTTAGAAATGTTTGGTTTGTCTCGAGTTTTTGTAGTATTGAAAATTTTAATTTATTAACATTGTAAGGAAAGTATAGCCAGTTCCACAGAAGCGGGTGCCTGAAACTACACACTCCTTTTTAAAAAATTTCATTGTTTATTGGAAATAATTTGGAATTGCTGAAGATCAATTTTTCTCATCATCTGCTCTATGTAGATCATTTCCTAATTATTATTATTTTTATTTATTCTCCAGCTGTTGGATTATGAAGCCAGAGCATCTGAACAAGTTCCACTGTTGTTGGAGATAGGCCAGGATCAGGCAGCCCTGACCAAAGCTATAGACAGTGGAGATACGGACCTTGGTAAGTTTTTCTCCTCACTGACCTGAATATCACTACTGTTCATGGCAAGAACACCTACGTATCCTGGCTAGCCTTAAGTCTTTGACCGAAGTAGACAGGTCATCAAAGTGTGTCTTGACCAAAGTAGACAGGTCATCAAAGTGTGTCTTTGACCAAAGTAGACAGGTCATCAAAGTGTGTCTTTGACCAAAGTAGACAGGTCATCAAAGTGTGTCTTTGACCAAAGTAGACAGGTCATCAAAGTATGTCAATGACCTCTGACTGAAGGCTTAGGCCTATTTTCAGTTCAGTTTCCTTCAAACATTAAGAATTTTTTTTTTAAATGAATTATTTTACAAAGTATCCAAAAAATAAATATTTTTTTACAAAGGAAAATCAATCATTTCTGCAAATTTACAAATCTGAGCTGGGTAAATATGGATCGGTCGGTCCAGATTTGATATCAGAGCTCATCATCAATTTTGAAATGTTATTTTCTGTACTGTAAATTTAACCATTGAATGCAAAAATTGTTTTTGTCCTCTTAGTGTACACTGTACTCCTTCACCTGAAAGACAAACAACAGAATCCTGGTGATTTCTTCATGATGATCAGGTCCATGCCCATAGCACTGTCACTTTACATCCAGGTGAGCAATATCCTCTGGGATATGTTTTGGGCCCTAATGTTCCACAGTATAGAATTTCGTACAAATCCTGCAGCACTATCCTCTTGCATCAGTTTGGGAACCGCTGTACCTGCCTAACCCTTGAACAAAACTTTGTTTTATGTCAATCAAAGACCAGAGTTGATTTAATTTGTCTGTGTTAACCTAAGACATAATATTAATATTTGTAAAGATTGATGGTATCACTAAAGCCTCACATTTTTAAATGCATTTTTTAACATTAGCTGTCTGTTTATTTATACAAATATATTTAGAGAGACATTTTTGTTTTTTCTCTTCTATTTTGCAGTATTGCAGACAACAAAACCTAAAAATTGTTGAAGATTTGTACTATCAGGAGGACAACTCTTCAGACGAAGGAAACTGTAAAGTAACCCGCAGTTATCTTCTTGATGTAAGATGGGCTGAATTTTTTTTAGGATGCTTCAATAATACTAACTTGTGCCTTTTTTTTCTTTTGAAATTTAATTTCGTTAAATGTTTCTGTTCAGTCTGAAAATCACACCAGTCTCCTACATCCATTCCGTTGTGCTCTGGTGGTGAACCAGGAGGTAGCTTTCCTTATAGTTGTATTATTATCTAGTTGTGTTCTCATGAAAAAACAAAAATCGTCTTTGGGACTAACCTTTTAGTTCTCCATTTCGTCCATTCTACTGTGTTCAAAATATCTTTTTTCTTTCCTCCTTCATTGAACACAATGTTACAGGTGTTCATTTCTTGGGTTCAGAAAAAGAAAGAGATGTTCAACATTGACTTAACACTGCCTCACTTACTGTGTCGATGTCAAACTCCTTGACTTACCTTTAAGAGAGGTTTTACAGTGATCCCTCGTTTATTACAGCTTCACTTTTTTTCTGTCTCACTACATCAAAGATTTTGTACTTGTATACATCTATTTTGTTACAGCACATTTTTTTACTATATTATGGGATTTTGCTGTATTTAAGTATTTTTATATTTGTTACATAAATAATTTTTGCTGTAAAATAAGCATTTTCTAGATTAAACATTAATATATAAAAAAATGAATTAAAAAATATTAAAAGAATATTTAATTGAAATAAAGCACGTAGCACAAAAGCAACAAACTAGAGCACTGTGAACTGTATCTTGGTCGGTGTGGGGGAGAGTTTACAACTAGAGCACTGTGAACTGTATCTTGGTCGGTGTGGGGGGGAGTTTACAACTAGAGCACTGTGAACTGTATCTTGGTCGGTGTGGGGGAGAGTTGACAACTAGAGCACTGTGAACTGTATCTTGGTCGGTGTGGGGGAGAGTTTACAACTAGAGCACTGTGAACTGTATCTTGGTCGGTGTGGGGGAGAGTTGACAACTAGAGCACTGTGAACTGTATCTTGGTGGGTGTGGGGGAGAGTTTACAACTAGAGCACTGTGAACTGTATCTTGGTGGGTGTGGGGGAGAGTTTACAACTAGAGCACTGTGAACTGTATCTTGGTGGGTGTGGGGGAGAGTTTACAACTAGAGCACTGTGAACTGTATCTTGGTTGGTGTGGGGGAGAGTTTACAACTAGAGCACTGTGAACTGTATCTTGGTGGGTGTGGGGGAGAGTTTACAACTAGAGCACTGTGAACTGTATCTTGGTGGGTGTGGTGGAGAGTTTACAACTAGAGCACTGTGAACTGTATCTTGGTCGGTGTGGGGAGAGTTTATAAAGCCTTGAAATAAATCAAATATAAGATTGCTCCTTGGAGGATTTCGGCCATGAGGGATGGGTGTTTGGAACCTAACCCCTGTGTTAGATGAGTGATCACAGTCTATTGATTTCCCTTATTTTATCTATCGAATGAGTGGATCTGACTATAAATATTTCTGGGTCTCATGTATGTACCATCAATTATTGTGCGTCAAATTTTTCCTTGGTCGGTAAAGTGAAACTTACTGAAGCTGATTGGATCTACATGTGTACGTACTGCTTCTTACCAAGAAATGAGTCTGCCAGTCTTTTTTTGTTGTATCTCTGCATCTCCTTACAAATTACAATATTTCCACTCAGCATGTGGAAGAGAGAGTCAAGCTGCTGGAAGATGCCATGAACTGTTTCCACAGATGTAAAAATGATTTTGCCAGCAAGGTAACTCACATGAAATAAACTTGAAGGAATATTTTTTTTATCAATAACTTTAGAACTAAATTTTTTGCCATGGTAAACATTAGCAAGATGAAATTCAGCATATTTATTAGTCATGCAATATTTACTGTATCACTTTAACACTTGAAAGAATGTAAAATTTAAAAAATATATATTTTTTTATGAAATGAGTTTGTAAAAAAAAAAAAAATTTCATTAATTAAAGGGAATATTTTATGAAAAATCCCAATAAAAACAAATGTGACCTTTAACCCCAGCAAACAGATGAGCAGATCAGACTGCTGCGTCACCAGAGAAAACTGGAGGATGAGACAGGTCACACCTACGCTGACCTCTCCCTGCAGAAAACCCTGTACAAGCTGACCATAGATGGCAATCACCAGTATGTGGAGAAACTGAGGAAAGAGTTTAAAGTTCCAGACAGAAGGTGAGCCCAGTAATGACACCGGGGAGGGCATCAATTTAGGATAGAAGGTGTTTTCTGTTGTACCAAGCCAACAACATGTTAAACATGAAGTAAAAAACTTACAAATCTTTATCTTCTGCTAACTATGCTCAAACTGGCTAACTAAAGTGAATAAAAATTGTTACAAATCATACTGTTGAAAGCTGTTTGATATAAATAATTTTGGTTTAACTTTTTATAATAGATTTATAAATGTCTACCTCTAGCTTTTAGTTTCATGGTTTTTTTTTATTTTTAAAGATTTTTCTTTATAGATATTTTTTTATAGATATTTTTTATAGATATTTTTATCGATATTTTTTATAGATTTTTGTATAGATATTTTTTATAGATATTTTTTATAGATTATTTTTATAGATTATTTTTTATAGATTTAAAAGATATTTTTATAGATTTTTTTTAATAGATATTTTTTAATAGATATTTTTAATGAATTTTTTTTATAGATATAATGTAGCCTAGAAACGGAATGCAAAAGAAGTTGTTTATATTTGGATTTCCTTGTTTAGAAATCGGTTCAGGTAGATTGTGATAGCAACAGGCTGAGCCATTATTGAATATAAATTCAATTTTTATAAAAAAACTATACAGGTTTTGGATCATGAAAATTTATGCTCTGGCCGAAGTCCAAGAATGGGGAGAAATGGAAAAGTTATCAAAAACAAAGAAAGCCCCAGTTGGCATTGAGGTGAAGAAACATACCACACAACGCGGTGCAATTCAGCCAAGTCAGTCAAGTTGACGGGGTTGTTTGCACCTGATTCGTTGGACTTGATTAGTATTTTTAAACGATTTCTAATTGAAATTTTAATTAAAATTATTCTACAACAGAGAGACCTTAGTTCCACCGGAAATGAGATGATGGGGGAGGGGGGGAGAATGAGCCTATCATTAATCTGTAAAGTAAGATTTTAGTTAGGTATCAAACATTAAATTTTGTCATGTCAGAAAGTTAAATTGAGTAGGGTGGGCCCTGAGTTAAAAAACACAATGTGGAATAGGGTGGGCCCTGAGTTAGAAAACAAATTATCGAATAGGGTGGGGCCCTGAGTTAGAAAACACAATTAAGAATAGGGTGGGCCCTGAGTTAGAAAACACAATGTGGAATAGGGTGGGCCCTGAGTTAGAAAACACAATGTAGAGTAGGGTGGGCCCTGAGTTAGAAAACAAATTATCGAATAGGGTGGGGCCCTGAGTTAGAAAACACAATGAAGAATAGGGTGGGCCCTGAGTTAGAAAACACAATGAGGAATAGGGTGGGCCCTGCGTTAGAAAACACAATTAAGAAATGTGGAATAGGGTGGGCCCTGAGTTAGAAAACACAATGTAGAGTAGGGTGGGCCCTGAGTTAGAAAACAAATTATCGAATAGGGTGGGGCCCTGAGTTAGAAAACACAATGTAGAATAGGGTGGGCCCTGAGTTAGAAAACACAATGTGGAATAGGGTGGGCCCTGCGTTAGAAAACACAATTAAGAATAGAGTGGACGGTGAGTTAGATAACACAATGTAGATCAGGGTTGGCCCTGAGTTTGAAAACACAATGTAGAATAGAGTGGACAATGAGTTAGAAAAAACAATGTAGAATAGGGTGGGCAATGATTTTAGAGAGTAACCAGATCATGAAAGCACTGTCCAAAATTTGCCAAATCTTTCAGATGTTCATTGATGCCTGTATGAAAGAGAGAAATGTGGGAGAGGCCAGGAAATATCTCCCACGAGTCCCACCAGAGTTGAAGGTCAAGTGCTTGATACGTCTTCGGTAAGTCTATGATGACATCAGCTGTTCCTACACAGTAAACTCCGCTGAAACAGAAAGTTTATCCTGCATCGCATATCCATCAAATCCAGGGGCAGGGTGGATGGAGTTTGATCCCTTTTAACTGGACATCCTTTGCAAAACGCTCAGACGATTTGATTAGTTTTCTCTGGTGTTTTTTTTAACTAGTTGAGTTTGAAGCTGATTAGAAAGAACTCAGTTTAAAACAATATTTCAAAAGGGCTTCCAGTTTTCAGTGTTGATGTATTTCTTATTTTAAACTCTAAATACCATTGATTAAAAGGAAAAAAAAATATTTTAAATGTTGAGAAGACGCATGATTTAAGGACTTGCATGCGTGACATGAATAAAATGTCCAATCATTGGATGCTCTGGGTTCATGTGTTTTTACACTAGAGCTTTCCCCGCTGCCTGAAAAAAAAAGGATATTTTCTTTTTCCTCTTTTTTTCTCCAGCATGTTCCGAGAGGCTGCAGAGGCCGCCCTGGAAAACAAGAGTGAAGATGACTTCGAGTACGTGCTGTCCAGGCTGGGGCTGGCGGACAGGCAGGTGGCGGAACAGATACGGGGCATGAGGGGACAGTTTGGTGCAAGGAAATAAATTAGGTCATAGGAGATGATCGTGAATGACAGTTGCAATGTGAAGATGGATGGATAACAAATTGAACCCGAACAAAGCTGAGGCTGATCCTGATGCTGAGGGTGATGCTGTGGCTGATGCTTATCTGTTGTGTGTCTGAGAAAGATATGAGTGAACACTAGTTTCTGAATGACTATAGCCTCTGTCAACTTTGACCTTTGCTCTTTGACATATTCCTCCCATCCCCCCCCCACCCAAACACTGTAAATAACTATCAGAGATGAATGTTGATTAAAACGATGCATTAAATCACTTAATGTTTTTTTTAAAACAAAAACTATGATTAAAGATTTGTGTAAACATTAAAATAAAACTCCCACGTGTCTGCATTATAAAGTCAAAATGATTGGATGTTCTAGCTTCTGATCAGGTTAAAAATGCAAGCTTAATTTATTTTCTGTTGATATCTGCCCCATAACTATGTGAATAACTGGAGGGGGTGGAATGATGGCATACTCCATCACCTAGCAACTAATTTTTAAAAAAAAATTTGCTCTCCAAAAATTCATTATCATCACCAGGGCCATTGTTGTTGTTATGGGAGTTCATTGGTAGCCGACTTCTATGCTAAAGAGAAATTCTTTAGATGTCTTGTGTCATGTCACAGCACGGCTTCATGTCACAGGCTGGTGTCATGTCACGGCCTGGTGTCATGTCACAGACTGGTGTCATGTCACAGCACAGTGTCATATCACAGGCTGGTTAGAATGATAGGTTTCTGTCTGTGATAGGTTATGGTGTATGATAACTTCATGTATGTATGTTATACATTGGCTGCTGCTCATCGTGCATCCAATTATTATTTGTTTCATGTTGTATATTGATGCAAGAATAAGGCTTGCGAAGAAATTATCCTTCATTGTTATTTAATTTTAATAATAAAGAAATGTGTTGTTGTTTTTAATCTGTGTTTTTAAATAGTTTTTAGCTGTTATAATTCTTAAATATAAAATCGGTTGATTTCTTAAAAAACTTTCTTTTTTCGGGAAGGCGTGATCTATATGATGGCATGCTTTTAATATGTCGTGGGGCGTGTTATCAATCAGTCAAAACTCAAATTTCAGTCTAAATTTTTTGTTAGACAAATTTGAGCTAGATATATATTTTTTTTCCTCCAATCTGAAAAAGTGATCATTGGGAGAAGAGTGGTAAATAATTAAACTTCTTTTTCTTTTTTTTTTTTTAAATAATTTTTTGAAGAGTGGCAAATAATGAACTATTAAAAAAACCTATCCAAATGTGGCACAAGAAGAACCTTTAATAAAAAAGATATATATTTTTAAAAAAAACACACAAGTAAACTAAAAGCCATAATGGATAATTGTTCTTTATTTCATTTTCAATAAGAAAAATAAACGACCAATGAGAAAATCTGAAACCAATGCTGGGAGGCTGTTGTGTACATGAGAGTATTTCACTTACATGTACACGTGACATACCCCTTTTTGCCTCATTTATGTACACTGTACAGGTAAAAAAAACTGGAAATTGCGTACATGTCATTTGAAACAGTATGTGTAGCTATTTTGCTTGGGCGTTAGATGTCATACTCAATAATCTCGTGTGTACAAATACGTACGCTGTAGTTTACATAGTCTGTGGAAATATGCGGCATGTCATACACGTAAATAGACAACATGAAATATCTTTGAGTCAGATAAGCAGTAAACAAACGTCATAACATAGAGAGTCTCTAGGGAAAGTGGCGTAGGAAGGGTGGGCCACAGGGGTGGCGGTCCAAGCAGGGTGGCACTTTTTTTCTTCTATATATTGAGGGGCGTCATTTTCTGTCAGCTGCAGATTTTTTAGATTCTTTAAAAAAAAATGGAGAGGGGGGGGGGGGCACTGATTTAGGAATAGGTGCGATAACGTACCACGGCAAGGGAGATAAGCAGCCACAATTTCATGGATTGTTCTCGAACTCTCCACTGGCATCCCATCAGTTGTTTTGCTTACCCGGTATATCTCCTTGCACTTCACTTGTTATTTTGTTCGCTAAAGAAAGTCTTTTCGCAGATTCACCCGTCGTTGATTTTATCCCTTTAAAGAACTGACCGTGTGATACTTATTTCCTTTTCCATAAACCCGATCGCAGTCCCTCCCCCCACCCGTACCCTCACCTTATTCTCCACAACAATAGAAACATCCTGGTGCAGACAGTCTTAACAAAATGTATTGGCATCCTCTAAGATTTGATGTACGTGGCAGTGGCGCAGCTAGTGCTAGCGTGGCCATATTTCCTTTTCCATAAACCCGATCGCAGTCCCTCCCCCCACCCGTACCCTCAACTTATTCTCCACAACAATAGAAACATCCTGGTGCAGACAGTCTTAACAAAATGTATTGGCATCCTCTAAGATTTGATGTACGTGGCAGTGGCGCAGCTAGTGCTAGCGTGGCCTGGGGCGGGCCAAGATTTTTGATGCCCCAACACTAATATGCAAAACAAAAACCTTGATAAATACTGCCCCTCCATCTAAAACCACCTTCGCCCCCCCCCCCCAACCTTTTCCTTATCCGCTGCTACGTGGAGCCTATCAATATTGCATTGTAGATTCAATGTGAACTTTCATAAAGGTTCATTGTCAGACATCAGTTCCGGTAAAAATATGTTTTTTTTTCCAGGCTTGAACAAAGCAAATGTACTGACTGCCATCGCACTTGATTGTTCAGTTCATACGATCAAATTTGCGTCAAATTTTCGCCAAAGTAACGCAATATTTAGTAAAATATATATAGTTCGTTCAAAAAGAAATTTGACAACAATTCGAAGAAAATTTGAGGAAAATTTGATCCTGTGAACTGTTCAATAAGTATCACGAGGATTACACTGACAAGCGAGTTGAATTATTCCTCAAGTATGTGATCATGACCTTTTTTATTTATTTCTCCTCTGACCCCTGCGACTGCAAGCTTCTAAAAAATACATAATGGATGAATATTTTTTTTTAAAAAGCAGTCTTTCCCATCTAAGTGCCCAGTGGTACAGTTACGGTGACCTCAGATTTCTCATAGCTGCTCATTGCATGGTAGAATTAAGGACTCCGTGACATCAAGCACATAAGGGGTCGTTCGCAAATATCGTCACGCTCAGGGAGGGGAGGGGGGGGGTGAGAATTTTTTTGACACTTTGTGACGGACGCGGGGGGGGGGGGGTCANGGGGGGGTGTCAAAAGTTGATGACGTCACACTTTTTTCCTTTTTCTTTTTAAATCTAAAAAAAACTTTGTTGTTTTACGTCACAGTTTTCTAATAATACTAAAACTTAACCCATTATGGGAAAATGTTAAAGACTAAAATAAAATCTTAGTTTAGTTATTAAAATTGTACGTATGTTTTGAATATTTTTAGGTGTGACGTGACATTAAGGAGTGGGGATAAAGAATTTCTGACACTTGTGACAAGGGGAGGGGGGTCTGAAAAGGTCATTTTTGACGTGACGTGATTTGCGAACGACCCCTAACAGTGTGACTCCCGCCCCCCCCCCCACCACTTAGCACATCTGGCAGTATGACTCTTCGTTTATCATCCTGTAATAATATGACTCAGAGTTCCTTCTACAACCAGTTCAAGGACACAGCCCGAAATTTAACTCTTGATTCTGGACACTCAATGACTCTTATCTCTAGCATCAGTCCGTACTGTTGAGGCTTCACTCAAAGAGTTGAATATGGGCGTATGTTAACTCTCATTTTTATTTACATTCTATAATATAACAATATCAATAAGTGTCATAAATACTTCATTGCCGGCGAGGAAAAGTAGGTCAAAGGTGATTTTATTTGAAATAATCCTAATTCAAAATGATAATTTCATTAAAAAAAAAATCTCAACAATTCACAATAACTTGGTCCACCCTCGTGTGAGTAGCTTATCTACACGTTGGCTAGTAAACTGTATACATGAATGTAGACACGCAATAATGACAATGTACCCGTGTGTGGAGTGAACAACAAAATTCTGTCCATAAATTTTTGGTACACATAATTAAGGTCCAGTTTTCGTCTCGCTGAATAATTTGACACCGACAAGCCACATCTTGATCTCATCCAGGGGTGTGCAAAGAGGAGGGGAGGACTCTCCCCGGGCGGCAAAATCGGGGGGGGGGGCGGCACCAAAATTGTCTTTGGATATAACCTTTATAGTGAATTAAATAATAAAATGTCATATACTTCACAAAGAAAGGGGGCGCCAGACTCGTTTTCTAATTTTCCGCCCCGTGCGACAAATTTTTTTTATATATTGGCGGGGGGCTTTTTTTCAGGCTCCGCCAAAGGGCACCGACTTTCCTCGTACGCCCCTCATGTCATTGGTCTGTTTTCTTTTGTGGTAATGCGATTTCAACGTCACAGCCATTTGTGCAATTCATTTTAACTCGCTGACAGCCATTGCATGTTAACTGCTCCCTTTGTGCTCTGAGAATAGGAAACGTCTTGATTTCTAATGGATGGCACTCGCATTTTTTGTTCGTTTTGTTCCCCGAACTCGATCTGCCAGTAGAAGGGAGCACAGATGTAAGCCTTTCACGGTCCAACGCACCACCACACGAAGGATTTACACGGCGGCTCCGATATCTGTCTGTGTGAGGACGTCAGGAGATCAGCGGCCTGTGATGAGCAGAGGCCCATGCAGTTATTCCCGTTCTGCCTGACCGTGAATATCCCCCCTCTCCACCAAACATACCCTGTACATCAGTTTTATGCCCCGCATATATCACTGTCAGCATACAGCGGTGCGACTCTGGGAGGTTTGACAAAAATGCACTTTTGTAATGTCCTCCAATATAGAAAAAAAAAATTATCTCACTTTCGACAATTTCAATTTTTGTGTTTTTTGTTTTGTTAGAGTTGAACGTTCAATACTGGTCTCGGATTAATTTAGTCAAGATATGTTGGAGCCTATGACGCCCCGAATCGACTCCGCGTCAACTCACTAATTATTTCAGCTGTTTGGCTATGACATGAGCACCGATCCGCGAGATATAAATATTACCAAAAAAATCCAAGATCACACGGCTGGTTGGTGGGGCACAAATATTTGAGCCTGGGCCGTGGTACTCGACGCCCCCACTGATTCTCTTTTGCGCGTTTGATCGTCATCCTGAATCAGACGCCATTTTGGCATGTGCCCTTTGACCTCAACGCATGGGGCCAGAAAAAACAGGAAATGCTTTCGAGGGGCTAGTAAACGCAGCTCTCCATGTACGGACCCGCGCCGTACATTCTCTGAAACTCTTGAACATACTGCAGCCGATGTTGCTCCGCCGTGATGGGTGGCGCGGGGTGCGGCATGTGGGGGTGCGTCGCGGGTGGTCCTGCCATGTTAAACGCCCCCCTCATCGCGGGCGACGACACGTGATGGTGCACCGACCCTGGAGACGACGCGAGCTGGCTGTCCATCTGCGGAGGTGGCGGTGGTTTGAATAAATCGTCCTTGCAGATGCCGTCCGTCTTCAGTAGAGGTCTGTGGTTGTCCGGGAAGGCCATGGTGAACAGCGCTTCCGGGTCGCAGACGAACTTGTAGACGTACCGCTCGCCGGCCACCTTCTGCATGATGCCCTTCTCGTAGTAGTAGCGGAGAGAGCGACTCAGCTTGTCGTAGTTCATCGCGGGTCGGTTCTTCTGCATCCCCCATCGTCTGGCAACCTGCGCGGGCAGAAGTTGAACAGTTAATGAAAGTTGTAATCAGTTAAAAAAAAAAAAACGTTTCTGTTTTAAACCGCTATTTAAAAAAAAAAATTCCCCGTGCCATACTCATTCCGGAAGCTGTCACTAAACTGTCGGCTTGCATAGCAACGGTTTACTGCTCAAAGATGTTCCAGTGGCCCCAAGCTTCAGTAAGATGTTTTCACATTGTTGGTGTCCAGAGGGTGGTGCTTGCTTCCTCCCCACA